ATTAACGGAAACAATGAAAGCGAGGAGACAACGATATATCCTGGTTCGGCCTAATGCCTACGTCCAGTCCCCAAGGCAAACGTGCCTGAGATTCCACTAATCCTTGTTAAACTTAACGGAGTTTAACAATCCGAATACAACTCGAGAACTTGATTTCACAAGCCTCTAACCTTTCCACCGAAGTCTTGATTTCACAAGACTTTGGATTTCAATCCAAAACTTGAATTATTTCAAATTCAAGTTTTTACAATTTAAAAACTTACAAACCAAAGTGCACAGCGAAATTGACTCTTTGAACAAGAGCGGATATGCTGTAGATTACAACCAAAGTTATAGTGTATGGCACACAAAAAACTTTCCAACTCAAGATGAAGAAAGATTTCTCAAATGAAGAACTAGAATATTGAGTAGGAAGATGAGGACTTGAATGAATCTCTTTGTTTAATCAAAGGAATGTTATTGAAAATGTTCTTGGGTGTTCTACTATGTTGAAAAAATGAGATATGATTGAATAAAAGAGATGGGGATAAAGTAACTTCCAAAAAGATTCAAAAAGTGTCCGTTAATCTGTAAAAACTGCCGATTTATTCGAATAAAACACAATTTATTCGAATAGTTTGGATAAAATATGATTTTTGAGAACACATGGCTTATTCAAATAATTTCTGGATTTATTTGAATAAAACAGAATGAACTGCAAATTGGGAGCCTACTTATTCGAATAAATAGTCATTTATTCGAATAGTTTTCAAAACTTTGGAAAAACTGGAATCAGCCCTTATTCAAATAAAACAAACATTTGTTCGATTAAAACAGACTGAACTGCAATCTGCAGAAGTCCATTTTATTCGAATAAATTGATATTTATTCGAATAAAAACCTGGGAAGAAACATTTTTGAAGAAAAGTTTTGAGAAAGAGTTTTGAAAACAATCAAATAGGAATTCTTGTAGGAAAAACAAAGTATTTTAAGAATAAAACCCTAACATCTCTCCCGTGCTTCTCTTCTCCAACGGGCGCCGCCGCATGGACCTTTACCCAGATAAATCGTCGACACCGGCCTTCTTCCTGCCGGCGAAGGAAAACAGCATCCCACCATCAATTCCCGCGAGATCCATACCGCAGTGCGATTGGTTCTTCGAGAATTGGCCAAGCACGCTGTCTGAAGGCACCAAGGCCGTCACCAAATTCACCAGCCTCCTCTGTCGTGGGTCTCTTCATCAATACTTTCTTCAAATATAATTTGGTCCCATCTTTCGTCATCAGCAGACAGATCCGAAGGAAGAATAGGTCAAGTTCGTGCAGCATCAAGTTTTGTTCGTACATCACCAATTATTCTCTTCTGGAAATTTCATGAAGACAAAATTCCCCTCTTTGTTCAATAATTGAAGGTAGATTAGTCGAAAGAATTGAGCTGGTGTTTTAAAGTTTCCAATTATCAAAATCAATTATGAGGATTAACTTTAGTTATAAAAAAAGCAATATTATATGTTGGTGTTGAGCTTTATAATAATAATAATAATAATAATAATAATAATAATGTTTTAAAAATAATTTATTTTAATTTTATAATGTTATTTTTTGAATTTTTGGTCAATTTCATAAGTAATAATCAATGTTAGGATAATGCATAGATTTTTAAAATAACTCAAATGTATATATATAAATAATTCATTGATAGTAAGCAATTTATCACAATCTTATAAAATCATGCTAACAAAGTACATCAAAATCTATCTAACTCTGCACAGATTTTAAATTATCCACTGACTTTACAGAATCCTTGGAGTTAAAATAATTTGCCAGAATCTTTAAAAATCTGGATTGAATACACCCCCCTAAGACTCAAAAGAAATAAAAATCTAGAAAACCTTTAATCTTCAAATCTTGTCTTGAATCTCTAAGCAATGTGCTAGGCAATCCACATGAAAAGATCCAAATTCAAAGCTCATCCCATATGCATGGTTGTCATTATCAAAACACAAGGGTCAACAATTTCCCCCTTTTTGATAATGACAAACCCAAATTAACAAGTGCTTGGACTCAAATAACAAGGTTTCCTGTCTTTCAACAAATTAAACACACACACAAGACACAAGCAAACATGCAACTGATGAATCATTAGAAAAAGTTCAAGAAAGCAACTTCCCCCTGTTTGTGTGCACTTGACCAAGCACAAGCAATACCCACACTTCCCCCTTTTGTCATAAGCAAAAAAAGGGAAGGTAAAATCATAGAAAATGTAAAGTCATAATAAAAAACACAAGGGGTTAAGCAAAAGATAGAGTCAATAAGTAAGGCATAAGTTAAAATGATTAATGCAAGAAAATGAGTTCCCAATCCACTCATTCCTCAACCATGGTCGCATCGTCCTGTTCAACAGCATTCTCCTCTTCATCATCCTCATCGTCTTCATCACCATCATCATCAGAAGGAGCGGCATGAGAAGAAGAACTCTGAGGCATGTAAGGCGCTAGAGCTTCCATGGACGGTGTTTCCCATTGCTTGCCATTACCAACATCTTGTTCAAGTTATAACCATATGTGGCCTGTTGGAGTTGAATGTGGTCGAAGGAAGATTGGAGGATTTGCAATGACTCAAATAGCATAGGCAAGGTGACCTTTTTACTTCGTGAAGCTACACGAGAATGAGAAGGGCCTGCTTCCTCACGTTCCTCCTCAGTATCAATCTTGACTCTCATTACCGTCGCCCTCTTGATCCTCCAAAAAGCTGTCTCAGAGTCCGATTCGGTACTAAGAAATTCAAACCCCTTTGTCTTCAAAAGAAAGGTGAGAAGCATGGGATACGGTAAGGCTTTCTTCTTGGCTCTGCATAAATTCATGTAGCTCAAGATGTATTTCCCCCAATTCACTGACACCGGCTTCAAGATGGCGTAGATAAGCA